ACCAAGATACTGTAGGCGTAACACAGACTACAGGTCAGAACACGATCGAAAACGGTGCTTGAAAAAAATAATTGTGACAGGCCTTCAAAAATGTTTAAAATTGATGCAAGGACAGGTGCTCCATTGAAGCATGACTCTTGATTTTCTTTCCTTTTTAGTTAAATCTTAAAGTTATCTTTAATAAATTTCTGGTCTGTGGATTCAAGGCTCAATCAACAACACTTTGAGGAGCACTGCCCTACAAGACATAAACTTCACACAATGCGCAAGGCTTAGCTTCGGAGACTTCAAAAAAATAGAAAAGGTATCGAGCGTTCTACTTTATGTTAACCTCTGGATTTCTGGTGGGGGCTACTGTGTTAGTTGTTGTTGTGTGAGACTTTGATTCCTAGGAATGTGTCGTGGCTACTGTCATCTGTGTCACGTCAAGGAAGGCCGAATAGCGTCTGATACTCAATAGTTTCACAGTATTTCTTAAGCGAGCTGTGTGGAAACTAAATCCTTTCGTTAGTTGCATACGTTTGTTTGGTGGCTATTACATTGTAAGAGTACAAATAGCCAGGGTAATGTGAAGATAGGAGTAGGAGAGGGGTGGAGGGGGGTGGTGTGGGAGGAAGGGGCAATGACTGTGGGCGCCAACATCCGAAAAAAAAAGGGTGTGGGGAGATAAAATATTCTTTAGATAGACCTTACTAGCGAATTAGTCGTTAAAACAAATACAAGAGGCGACAAAATCATGTTTGTTGCTTGCCAGCCCCAGGTGACACTGTTTATTTATTAGGGGTGATATGTTCAGGCTTCGCCCCAGGCACCGATTTTCTTCGGCGCTATCCTTCTAATAGCTATCGAATGATTTTACCAAGTTGTCGGGTGTTTAAAATGACTTATAGATATAATAAGTGCTTATTTACTTATTATTTTTCATCCAGAAAGTTTGAGATTCTTTGTATAATTATCTTAAGAAATGAATTTTTTTGCCAGCTTGGGTGACTAGTAAGCGAGCATATCACTACATGATTAGAAATATAGATGGACAATTTCTTGAAATATTCAAACTAACTATTTAAAATCTTTTCAAAGTGTTAACTTTATCTGCCGTAAAATAGCTTAAAATAGCTCACAAATACTTTTTAACCTTTTGGGATTTTCTCGTCACTTTGTTTTTTACTTCACATGTTTTAAAAAATTCAGTTTGATGTCGTAACTTTACGGTTAATTACTTCGTTATTTCATTCAGTAAACACAGCTTGAAGTTGTGATTTAATGGTCAATTATTTTGTTAATTTATTCAGTAAACTCGGTTGAAGTTATAATTTTACGGTCAATTATTTTGCTAATTTATTCAGTAAACTCGGGTTGAAGTTGTAATTTTACGGTCAATTATTTTGTTAAGTTATTCAGTAAGCCAATTCTGCGTATGCTGTTATTTATTTCGAAAAAAAGAAATTTTTTAATACAGTAAATTAACGTCACCACACATACTGTTTGCCCACAAGTAATATCGTCCATTGTTTTTGAGAAGCTGGGAACCCATGGGAGACGGTAACTGTCGTCACGGTTGAGTGACACGTGCAGCAGTCCAGTGGGTATATGGGCACACACATTTTAATTTGCCCACTAATGAATTTACGTTCCTGTCAACTAAGTGACAGTATATGGCATGGTTTTGTGGACAGATTGACAGTATATGGCATGGTGCTGTGGACGAATTGACAGATTATGACATGGTATTGTGGAAAAATTGATAGCATATAGCATGGTATTTTGGACAAATTGACAGACTATGACATAGTAATGTTAAAATATTGACAACAAATTGCAAGGTATTGGTGACAAATTGACAATATATGGAATAGTATTGTTGATAAATTGACAGTATATGACATAGTATTGTTGAAAAATGGAAAGTATATGGCATGGTATTTTCACAAAAAAATAAACTTTGTAAAAACCAATTTTTTTTCTAGATTAAAAATTCATGACACTGTTTCACTCACACGAACTGACAGACATGAAGCCGAACTAAAAATTACCACGTAAAACGATATCTTTACCTCGAAGTAATTAGCGACTGAACTGTTCTGTCCACATGCTTCGATTTCAGAAAATAGTAAGACATATTAAATAAACGAAATAAATCCAGTTAAGCTGTAGTTAACCTTCCCCACCCTGAGGTCCGCAGTTTGCCGCAATGCAGTTCTATTCATTTTTTTTTTTTGGTGGGGTGGTATTTCTGTTTTAAATCACTGTTATGTAAAGTCTAAAATTAGCCCACGAATTTAACTAAATCATGTGACATGTAAACATTTGGCTAATCCAACATTGGAAATCCTTTCGGTAAAAATTGGTGTGAAGCTGAGCAAACACTTTTGACATGAAAAGATTCTTTTCGTGTGAGTTGTTGGACTTGTTGGACTTGTTAGTTACGGGTCCTGTATCCTGCTTTTTTTTTTTAAAATCCCCTGCCCCGTCACATTCAATGGATGTGAAAAGGTCTATTATGTGTTAAGATGCAGGCACCATCCTATTGGAAGTTGACGACGATCAGAACATAAGACAGGGGTGTGAGGACCACTGAGACAAGGATGTGAGGACCACTAGGACATGGATGTGAGGACCACTGAGACAGGGATGTGAGGACCACTGAGAAAGGGATGTGAGGACCACTGAGACAGGGATGTGAGGATCACTAACATAGGGACGTGATGACCACTGAGACAGGGATGTGAGGACCAGTGAGAAAGGGACGTGAGGACCACTGAGACAGGGATGTGAGGACCACTGAGACAGGGATGTGAGGACCACTGAGACAGTGATGTGAGGACCACTGAGACAGGGATGTCAGGACCACTGAGACAGGGATGTGAGGACGACTGATACAGGGATGTGAGGACCACTGAGACAGGGATGTGAGGACCACTGAGAAAGGGATGTGAGGACCACTAAGACAGGGATGAGAGGGCAACTGAGACAGGGATGAGAGGGCCTCTAAGAAGGTATGAGAGACAGGGATGTGAGGACCACTGAGACAGGGATGTGAGGACCACTGAGAAAGGGATGTGAGGACCACTAAGACAGGGATGAGAGGGCAACTGAGACAGGGATGAGAGGGCCTCTAAGAAGGTATGAGAGGACCACTAACATAGGGACGTGATGACCACTGAGACAGGAATGTGAGGACCACTAAGAAAGGGACGTGAGGACCACTAAGACAGGGATGTGAGGACCACTGAGACAGGGATGTGAGGAACACTGAGACAGGGATGTGAAAACCACTGAGACAGGGATGTGAGGACCACTGAGAAAGGGATGTGACGACCACTGAGACAGGGATGTGAGGACCACTAACATAGGGACGTGATGACCACTGAGACAGGGATGTGAGGACCAGTGAGAAAGGGACGTGAGGACCACTAAGACAGAGATGTGAGGACCACTGAGACAGGGATGTGAGGACCACTGAGACAGGGATATGAGGACCACTGAGACAGGGATGTGAGGACCACTGAGACAGGGATGTGAGGACCACTGAGAAAGGTATGTGAGGACCACTGAGACAGGGATGTGATGACCACTGATACAGGGATGTGAGGACCACTGAGACTGGGATGTGAGGACCACTGAGAAAGGGATGTGAGGACCACTAAGACAGGGATGAGAGGGCAACTGAGACAGGGATGAGAGGGCCTCTAAGAAGGTATGAGAGGACCACTAACATAGGGACGTGATGACCACTGAGACAGGGATGTGAGGACCACTAAGAAAGGGATGTGAGGACCACTAAGACAGGGATGTGAGGACCACTGAGACAGGGATGTGAGGAACACTGAGACAGGGATGTGAGGACCACTGAGACAGGGATGTGAGGACCACTAAGACAGGGATGTGAGGACCACTGAGACAGGGATGTCAGGACCACTGAGACAGGGATGTGAGGACCACTGAGAAAGGGATGTGAGGATCACTGAGACAGGGATGTGAGGACCACTAAGAAAGGGATGAGAGGGCAACTAAGACAAGGTTGAGAGGACCACTGAGACAGGATTGAGAGAACCGCTAAGACAGGGTTGAGAGAACCACTAAGACAGGGTTAATAGGACAACTAAGAAAAGGTTGAGAGGACCACTAAGAAGGGATGAGATAACCACTAAGACAGAGATGAGAGGACAACTAAGATAGCAATGAGTGGAACGCTAAGACAGGGATGAGAGGACCTATGAGACAGTGTTGAAAGGACCATTAAGGCAGAGATGTGAGGACCACTAAGAGAGGGATGTTAGAACCACTGAGACACAAACGAGATGACCACTCAGACAAGGATGAGATGACCATTAATAGGGCTTAGTTTTTGGGAACTGACTAGCATTTTTCGATACCACTCATGCGTGCTATTAGACTCATGGACATATCTTTCACGACTCTTAAGACAAATAAATAAAGTTGTCGAAAAGTCATATTTCATGTATACTTTGGATAATGGTTCGCACGCCCTCCGTCATATTCATTGACATGAAGTCTGTCATCGTTTTCTACATCCGCCACTGTGAATCAATGATGTTATGTCTTATCTCGAAGATTCAATGTTGAAAATGCAAATTATAACTAATATGGTTCTATTTTTAAATTGTTCCAAGAGTGATGTAATCAAACTTTATAGCGGCTATTATATAACTCAATTGTACCGAGGGTAATCCCCGAGGTTTATTTAAATACTTTTTTGTAAATGTTTAGTAAGAGTAGAGATAGTTCTCAAACTTATAGACTGGGGATATAGTTAAATAAATAAAAATGGCCAATATTCTAACGTGCACTTCTTATAGACGAGTCAGCGAGAAGGCTTTTTCTTTTAACCCTTTTAAATGTATTTTCAAGGAAGCAATTGACAAAAAATTAGTTAAAAACAAATGTATTGATGAATCCCAAAGGAATCAAGTCGAGATCCACTCTGAAGTCAGTCAACGGTTACTAGAAAGGTAAGGAAGCTTTAATGTGGGCACTTCCAATGATAGGTGCTTAAGTCTTTCATATAGGTTTCACGGATGTTAACCTCAAGCCGTCTTACATTCGTTCCGTCTACTCAAGGGACTGTGGTGTTAGACTTGAGTCTAGTTTTAAATAAATGAAACGGGGCATGTGTTAAAAAAGTACTTAGTCTAAAGTTTTTGTCACAAATAAAATCAGTGATATATTTTTGTCACAATCCGGAAGCGTTAAGACATACTGATCGATCGGTCTTCTCTACACACCTGGAATCAAGAGCGCCGGGTCGGGCCGACTTATCCTTTTAAAGTGTTCACATGCATTTCTCTACGAATAGTGCCGTATCAACCCTGTGGTCGCCTGTGGTGATTACCAAGCCGTATCAACCCTGTGGTCGCCTGGGGTGATGATCAAGCTGGTTTCCTACATAAGGAATTGGATCTTCGCATCTTTGAAATATCCCAGAACCGTTGTCTGTGTTCATTGACGTAAAGACCGAATTGCGGCGTAGCTTAAAAGTATTCAGTTCTTCATTCCAGAATGCATGTTCTTACATACTTGAGCGTAATGGCTCTTCTCTCATGGGGTACACGCCTCGGTGGGGTTGAATCGACACAAAACAGTTACAATGAAACATCTATAAAGGTAAGCTCACAACTTAATGAACTTGTCTTATGCATTAAAGCCTAAAAAGTGCTGGTTCCACTATTTATTTGTTGTTTGTTGTTTTTTTAACTTGAAAAAAAAACAAGCTTTTAAGAGAAACGCGTTATTGCGTGTACAGAAAGATTCAGGGCCTTAGCTTTAGCTGGCACCAGGGCTGGATTTATATCAGTACAGAAAGCGAATTGCTTAGAACCTTTAAACAATGTATGCCACATTTCCTGAGTCGCCTAGTCGGCCGGCCCGAGATTTATCCTTGACGTTGTGTTTCTTGTTATGACTTATAAAGTCTAAGTCAAAACAATCCGTGTGTGCTTCCAATGTTTTCGTTTACCTTTCGTGTGGGTCACGATCTCTCGGTGATCGCTTGACAATATCCCAGGAAGTGGCGTAGCTAGGGTTAGTGCCGCCCGGGGCGGAAAGAGAATATTGCCACCCACTTCAACAAAAAGAACATGTGCTTTTGGCCGAGAACGTATTCCCTCAAAATAATGATAATAAGTGTCACCCCTGTGCCGACAGCTCCTTTCCTACCCCCCTGCCAGGAGTTGCTTGAGAACTTCAGAAATATGAGGGGTTTTTTGGGGTAAAATATGGCATTTTTATTTCATTTGCATCCTTAAAATTTTTATTTTAATTTATAATTTACAGTGATCCGACTAGTTCCTAATGGTTACCACTAACCTTTAAGCCGTGAATACAGTACTGTTACAAAAACTATGCACCAGATATTAGCATTTCATTTTGTACATATTTTAATGATCTAGCTGTGTTTGTATCTATGGCTGTAATGTTGTTTTCAGACGCTCCGCAAAAAAAATAAAAAAAAAATAAATAAATAAATATTGGATTCTAAAAATAATACGTTTGGTGGGTAATATTTTGTTATGATTTAAGGAAATAATTTAAACTAGATAGAGCTCACCAAACATTAGCGACAGCAATGCGTGAACTTCCCATCTAGTAAAGTTACTTGACAAAACATGAACCCAAGTAACGCACATTTAAGAACCCCAATATTTGCTACACCCCTTCAGCCCATGATATGTCAATGCACACTTTTTATTTCACGTCCATGAACTATATTAATATTCTCATGTCCAAACCACTTTTAAACCCAATTATTTTTTACACCATACTTAAATTGAGACGATTTCAATTCCGAAATGAAAAATACGCAATTGTGTTTAAAAAAAATTAATATATCATTTAGCGTAGTTATCGGGAATTTTATTTTGCACGCTATTGAACTCATTATTTAACCACACTCTGACGTATCTATAAATAGCCTGTGTGGCGTCGTTTTACCTTTGCTGGCGAATTATATATATAGATTGAAATAATGCGATGTAATAAATCTACTTCTTTGACTTTGTAATAGTTAAAGCGTACATCACGTGGTAAAACAAGGGATGGGACACAATTCAGTAGCTAAGGGGGTGCGGGGGAAGTGGACGCACCGAGTGACACCAATACCGGGGGGTCACACCAAATTGAAAAATGCATATGTACATAGGACACACTGCTCAGTCAAACCGAATTTCATAAAAGGATAACCGATTACACATACATTTTTCACACATGTAACCAATCAAAATGCGTGCTTTATTAAATGTTTAAGGTTGAAATTTTCAGAAATGAAGTGATCCTATAATTAGGTCAGAAAAACATCGTTTTGAAAATAATTTAACGCCGATTGAAATGTTTGGCAACTTTCGTAAGAGAGAGCTATTTTAATCTAAATTATTAAAAATAAAGCTTTCCATTTACTTCAAATACGATGTTGTCAGGCGATTCTAATTATTACCATGAATCGAATCGGTAAGAATTAAAACATAAAAATGACTTTTCACCCACTTAAAGGTTTAAAAAAATAATATTTTACAAACTTTTCTAATATGTTTAAATAATTATTTTATATTCATTTAATTTAAAAAACGGGTCTTGAAAACAATTTTTTTTTTAATTTATCGAAAGCAAAATACTCAATAAAAATATTTATATTTTCGCCGATTCGTCACTAGTATAAACCTCTTAACGTTTGAGCAAGATTGTCATTACAGCACACGGTATTTTTTACAGGCTCTCTGTGATTTCACGTTTATCTGCTACATGCAACATGCTATTGAAGAGTCATTTTTAAAAATCAGACCGAAATGGAATTTCCGGTAGAGAGAAGATTCAGTTTTAATAAGAGAATGGCAGAAGAACAATTAATAGAAGCTGGAGTCTCTCTGCAAGAAGAAAGCAGTAGGGAGATACTGGATTGTATTCGTCGCTTTAATTTTGAACCCCAGATCAGATCATCTACGCAGAGGCGTAGCGAGGGGGGTGCAGGGGGGACAGATGTCCCCGGACGCCAGCTAGTTAGGGGCGCCAAAATGTGCTTTGATATTATGTTATTGGTAAAAATAATGGGTTTGAGAGTTGAAAAAAAAGAAAAGGGGGAGCTTTAAATGGATCTTGTCCCCGGGCGCCAAAAGCCCTCGCTACGCCTCTGCATCTATGATCAAGGAAGTAGCCGATATTTGTTTTGGGGCTGTTCAACCCAAGAGTCTACTATAAGCCAGTGACGAAGAGTTATTGGTGTCCGTTCCGAAAGTAAAGCTCTTTCTATGATGGGTTATCAGAACGTTGAACTTTTAAAAGACATAACAAGGCTTAGAAGAAACCTAAAGGCAGCTGATATTGAATTTCACAAAGTCATGGACTGGTTAGTATTTGATTTTTTGAAATTCAAAGCTGAATGGGACTTCCTAGAATCTCTTCCAATACCCTAGCTAAGCCTTCAATTGTTTCTTACAATCTGTGTGTCTGCGGCGTCATGTGAGCGGAGCTTTTCAAAACTACTAAAGCATATCGAGAACGATTTACGATCCAACACGGCAAATTCAAGGCTTTCTGATCTAGCTCTACTATCAATTTAAAGTGATATGGTGAAGGATATTGATTTTGATTAAGTGATTGACAGGTGTAAAGCCTTGAAGGTCAGGAAAGGAAAATGTTAAATAAAGTAAATTTAATGTAAAAATAACTACAAATTAACGTTGTCACAGTTCTTAAATACATTTACATTTACCTCCTGACCTTCAAATAATTTGTTTTTTTCTTGTTATTGTTATACTGTGGTCTTATTTTAAACAATCGCTCGATTTTTGGTTCTGCTGCAATTTCTTGTGCAAGGTTGATTGGTATTCGCTTTATCTGGTGAACAATCTTAAACCCAAAATGGCTACATATGTAGCAAAGTTGCATAGCCGATGTCTATAAGATCTTGCTGACGGTGTGACATAAAAAAAAAAAAAGGATGTCATACCCTATTAACACCGCACGCAGAAATTCAAAAATCGCAAGCGCTTATTTTGTGAGACAAGCAGCTTCACTATTCACTTTAGGGTCACAATGCGATTGAATTTGGAACGACATAACGGGAAAAAAGGAAACACAAAAAAAATCTTATTTTTAAAATTATAATATAGGCTACCTTCAAACATTGCGTTGTCTAGAAATTACAAACTCTCAGAAGGCCCGGCCTGGCATTATTAATAATATATATTTTATCATAAGGCCTACACACCGCCCCCCCCCCCCACACACACAAGTTTGCCATACCACTAGCAACGGCCCTATACCTTCAAACATTGCGTTGTCTAGAAATTACAAACTATCCGAAGGCCCGGCCTGGCCTTATTAATAATATATATTTTATCATAAGGCCTACACACCGCCCCCCCCCCCCACACACACAAGTTTGCCATACCACTAGCAACGGCCCTCACATGCTTTGTCTACTAACTTTTAATGGGAAATTCACTCATTGTCGCCGCAATGATTGGCGGGCTATTTCTAGTATAATATAATGTTCAGTTTTTTTGTTGTATTTTTGTTATTTTCCCGTATGTTGTTTGTTTATTTTGTCCTGCCCAAACTGTAAAGCCAACTGCTCTCGATGACATTTCGTAAAATAAACAAATTCACTTTTAAAAATAAACATTTAATTCTTTTGAAACCTTTTAAGAAAGATGCCCCGCTCCTACCACGTCCCATTTTAACTTTTTAAACCATTAAAAAATTGGTTTTCTAGGGGTTCTCTTCTGGTTCTGGTAGTGTTCGTTGCTGCATCCATATACTGGCATCTGTGCAACGGTTGGGGGAATGATGCTGCTAGTCTAACAGCTCCTAGCTGATGCCAAGGCAGCCTTGAAGCTTTTGACCGATGTCGATTTCACAGTGGCATTGTCCAGGTTGTTCCATGCTATTACTGTGCGTAGGAAGAACGATTGTTTATATTGCACTGTGTTGCATTGAGGCACTTCGAAGCGTTTGCTATTGTTTCTGGTGTTATTGTTTATGGAATAATCTTAGTTGTGGATAGCCTCGACTTGGCAAATCAAGGGGTCATGGCAGTAAAACGTGTTGGGAACCGCTGGGTTTCGTGTAGTCCTACATGTTTACACCAGCCATCAACATTTCGAAATAAAATCAAACAACAGATTTGTTATGATTTGAGAAGGCGCTTGGACACCCATTAAAAGTATTTAAGAAACAGCCACCAAAACTTGCAACAAAGTAATACATCCAGCTCCTAGCGGTGCTACAACATTTCAAATTCTTGTTTAAAATCAACAGGTCTCCCACTCAGAACACCGCAAGCTAAAAAAAAATTGAATTATTTAAAAAAATAAAATAATAACATAGGGCCGATTTTATCAAATTTACCAGTATATAACTAAATTGAATTAAATTTTGCTAACGAATATTTTAGAAAGAAATTTTTCCATCATTGTCTTCCAACAGCAGCGTGGTTGCCAGCTTCTGCCAAGCATTAACGCCAACACCTGTCTGTCCGCGGGCAGTGCTGTAAGTAACACTGCGAGCGAATCGTCCTACGTCCAGGAGGGGACAGTGTGTGCGATGGACTCAAACACATCCACCCCCGACTTGGTCACGTGTCGCAGGGGTCGATGGGAAAACACAGGTAAACACAACTCTCTTATAGTTACTGCTTTTATTGCTGTTCTCCCATGTAACACGATACATTAAAACGACGTTAATGTATAGGATTCTATTTGTCACCGTCTATATTCTCAAAATGTGTAACCAATTCATCTTGCTCCCCGTTCAATATAACAGAGTCAACTAAAAGTTATGTACGTGCAGAAGTTGCGGTTATATGTAAACAGAAATTCTTTATTCTAAATACAGATACTTTAAAAAAACAACAACAACACAGTTTTATCTTGAAGTGTTACCCGTCTTTAGGGTATCTCATTTGTGTGAGCAGAACGGGGAGCAGGCTAGAGGGAGTGACGGAGCTAGTGTAAGTGCCACCAGGAGCAGGCTAGAGGGAGTGATGGAGCTAGTGTAGGTGCCGCCAGTAGCAGGCTAGAGGCACAGATGGAGCTAGTGTTAGTGCCACCCGGATCAGGCTAGAGGCACAGATGGAGCTAGTGTTAGTGCCACCCAGAGCAGGCTAGAGGCACAGATGGAGCTAGTGTTAGTGCCACCCGTAGCAGGCTAGAGGCACAGATGGAGCTAGTGTTAGTGCCTTCCGGATCAGGCTAGAGGCACAGATGGAGCTAGTGTTAGTGCCACCCAGAGCAGGTTAGAGGCAGTGATGAAGTTCGTGTTAGTTCCACTCGGAGCAGGCTAGAGGCACAGATGGAGCTAGTGTTAGTGCCACCCGGATCAGGCTAGAGGCTCAGATGGAGCTAGTGTTAGTGCCACCCGGATCAGGCTAGAGGCACAGATGGAGCTAGTGTTAGTGCCACCCGGATCAGGCTAGAGGCACAGATGGAGCTAGTGTTAGTGCCACCAGTAGCAGGCTAGAGGCACAGATGGAGCTAGTGTTAGTGCCACCCGTAGCGGGCTAGAGGCACAGATGGAGCTAGTGTTAGTGCCACCCGTAGCGGGCTAGAGGCAGTGATGAAGTTCGTGTTAGTTCCACTCGGAGCAGGCTAGAGGCAGTGATGGAGCTAGTGTTAGTGCCACCCAGAGCAGGTTAGAGGCACAGATGGAGCTAGTGTTAGTGCCACCGGAGCAGGCTAGTGGAAGTGATGGAGCTAAAGTTAGTGCCACCACCCGTGGGGGCCCAATATATTTATTCGCCCATCATTTCAAGAAAATATACCAATGCAGTTGGCTTAAAATATTAAAAAATCAAGTGCTGACTAGGGCTGACCGCAATTTCCGCCACCCCCCCCCCCTTTACATTTTTCGCCCCTAGGTAGAGGTGTGGTTGATACAGCCACATTCCCCATGTTTACACTATGGCGGCAAAAGAACACCACACAAGAAATAAATAATTAATATATTAGTAGCAAATTAATTTTCATCCATTATGGAAAGCTAAACGTTATTTCGAGCATCTCAATATCAATTTTGGCAACGTCTAGAGCAGGGTTCGGGAACCTTTTTGTCTGAGAGAGCCATGGACACCACATATTTTGAAAAGTAATTCTGTGAGAGCCATACATTATATTTCCCTTTAATTACAATGAATGCAGGGTTGCTATTTTTCTGTCCTTTAGGTCAGCGGAGTTTATATTCTTTACCACTTCTGATGTTGAATTTGCAGTAGACATAAGCTCATTTTTAGAATGAAATACTGATATGCAATTAATATGTAGATAAAAGGATTCTAAAGAAATATTTTTTTTATAATCGAACATTTGTCTGCGAGCAAGATGCAGCCATAAATAGAGCCACATATGGCTCGTGAGCCATAGGTTCCCGACCCCTGGTCTAGAGTATTGAGTTTGCAATGAAACAAATGCTCTCGTCTCCAGAGTCTTGGGTCTGCAATGAAATAAATGCTCCAGATCAGGCCTGCATAACATACGGCTCGTGGGCCACATGCGGCCCACCAGCACTCACTTGGCGGCCCGCGAAGTAACGGAATATTCTTTATTATTGTTATTTTCTTAAAAGCTTTCACCCCTTTCCTATTATCTTTCGGCGCGTCTTACATTTTTCATAAAGTATTACGGCCCTCCTTACATTTTGAGTTGTGAACGCCTGCTCCAGATGATGAACAAATTGTTGCTCCGTGAACACCATTAGCTAAAGGTGGAACACATTAATTAAACATAATGAGGCACCAGGCAACCCTTGATATGGTTTATGCAATGTCCCTTCTGGGCCATGCAGGAGTACATACAAGACGTTAGTTTTAACAATTCTACCGTCAATGAGGATGTTGAATTTGCTCATGATGTTATCGTTTAGGTTATTTTAAGACGTCATACCTTTGGCGTAGCAAACTTCCAGCCGGCCCTGATCACGATATCATTACAAAGCTCTTATTATAAAATAGTGCATCTAAATATCACTGATCACATCTTAATCCTCGTGTTTTGCTCCTTGTTGGTGGGAGATGTTTCCCTTAATCCGCAAATTTCCCTTAACGCCATTTGCGTAGGAGAGTTGGGGGGGGGAGAGCAAAAATAGCCGGCCCGCCCTGGGCGGTATGAACCCTGGCTACGCCACTGCACAACATTCGTGGGCAATCTCAAGGCATCATACAGTTGTTCGAATTTCATTGGATGGTTTGTTAACACTTAATGTATCACGTGTCTCCCGTTGAAATGTGAAAATTACCACACAAAAAATCCTTCAGGAAGTTTTGGAACGTCAGCACATAAACACATTGACCTACGCCCATGTCCTGACCTTTGAACCTTCCTTCTACTCTGTTAACGTGCCAGTGATAAAATAATCTTATATCCGGGTATCTGGGTTGGTTAAGAATAAAAGGTGTAGAGTATCAGAATTCTGTTGTTCATAATAGGTGTTAAAAGTGAGTGTGATATTAAGGCCTCTCAGAGATAAATGTGTGTTGAACGAAATATGTAGACTGAAGTGTTATACAACCGATGGGCAGTGAGGCATTTGAGAGCGGGACATGCAGGCCTGGGTTCAGATGAAGTTGAGTGAAATGCCCTTATTTGCTAGAATTTTGAATATATGTATAATTTTATTTTAAAACCGCCCAATTGTTAAACAAAAGGGAGCAACACACAATTTGAGAATGGTGAACAAATTTGAGAATGATAAACACGATTACACTGCTATGCATCCGTATTATAGTTCAGCATAAAACAATTAAATTCGGGCATGGAATAATAAAAATGTTAAGCTTTTACTGGTGTCATCAGAGGAGTGATAACAATGGAAAATAAAAGCAAGCTATAAATGGCAGTGTTATGGAAAGTATATTTTACTAGGTGAACTATAAGCAGACGTGCCTTTTGTGGAGAAAAATGGTAGCTCAGCACTACAGGTGAAAGGATCAATGAGGACCAGTATTGTGTGTTCGCTAATGCACTGCTTTAAAGAGGGAGGGATGCGTAGGAGGCGGACTATCACCGGCAGCACTTTTTTTTTCTCTATATATTGAGGGGCGGTATTTTCGAGCAATTTGCAGATTTCTTCGTGTTTTGCTGCGATACATAGCTTTGCCAGCACCTGGCGACACTCACCATAGCCACGCGCCCGAGTGCAGGGTTTCTTTCAGCTATATCTTCGGGGGGTGGCAGTGCCCCCCAGGGGAAAGCCAAGTTCCCCCGGAGCAAAAATATTTCCAACAATAAATCAACTGGAACTGCTGGCACTCCCCCCCCCCTTTCCACCCGAAAATCTGAAGTGCCCCTCCGGTGGAAAATTACTGAAAGAAACACTGCCTGAGTGTAGGTCTACGTTTATTTGTGTCTCGCTTCGACTAACAAAATTATCGATTAAATTTTTTTTGGAATTTCCTGTAAAAAGCTTAAATATATTTACATTATTCCTAAGTCTACTTAGCAAAACAATAATAAATTAAAAGTCGACTGTCATTGAAAAATAGATCAAGGAAGTAAGAACTTTCTTATACCTCTATATATTTCTAAGTCGGACTCTTCAGTGGCGTAGCTAGGGTTGGTATCACCCAGTGCGGTTAACTCATGGTGTTACCCGTTTCCTGACTTCCACGATGGATTTCTTCTTGTTACAATAAGTCCAAAGTATGGCAATGACAAGAACAAAAACAAATTACTTAAAGGTTAGAAGGTAAATGTATTTAATAACTGTAAAAAATTGTACATTAAATTTACTTTATAAAAAAAAAAATTCCCATCCCTCGTTTTCAGCCAAAGATGCAAACCTTTTAATCACTTGATCAAAATCAATTTCTTTCCCCGTATTACTTTCAATTGATAGTAGAGGCAAATAGGAAAGCCTTGACTGTCCCATGCTGGGTTGTTAATAGTTCTTTATAAGCCTTAGTTTTGAAAATCTCCGCTCAAATAAAGCCACAGACATACAGAAACAATTGAAGGCATAGCGAGATTATAGGAAGAGATTCTAGGAAGTCCCATTCAGCTATGAATTTATTTTTATATCAATTACTGACCACTCCATGACCATGACAAATTCAATATCAGCTGCCTTTGTGTGTCTTCTAAGCCTTGGTATTTCTTTTAAAAGTTCATCCTATGATAACTTATCATAGAAAGAGCTTCATTTTGGAAAGGACACCACTAACTCTTTTCACTTGCTGATAGTAGACTCTTGGTTTTCTTCACGCAGAGAGAGTCCAACATCTATTTATTTTTCTCCTGCAATTCTATTGTTAACTCTGAATCTTCTCTTTATATAAATTCCATATTGTTCTGATTTAAAAGTGCCTTTTCAATAGCATATTTCATGTGACAGCGCTTCTCGGGCAGAAACAATCTCAAAACCTCTATGTTGGTCACCACTTTGTCAAGAGTTAATCCTTTAGTCTGTAGCTACGTCTTAGTAGGTTTAATGACTTCAAGTAGATCAGCCCAAGGTTCAAGGTAGCAGAGAGACGAGAAATCGCAGACAGCATGCAAATGACCTTGTGCTGTATGAAAATCGTGCTCAAATATTTACGGGCGGTGCTGGTGATGAATCGGCGAGTATTACTGGGTTTTGATATATTTGGGTTCAAATCCCACTTTTTAAAAAAAGTTAAATTAATTTAAATTAAGTACTAAAAGATATACAATTTTGTACAATATTATTTTGTTCACCCTATAATGGTACAAAAAGTCATTTTTTTAAAATTGTTTTTTTAATTTTAACAATTCAATTCAATTACTTAGAATCACCCGACCCCATCGTATTTGGTATCAAGGGAAACCTTTATTACTCAGAATTAAGATTGTTGTTGCTTCCGTTCACTTACGAAACAATTCAATTCAATTACTTAGAATCACCCGACCCCATCGTATTTGGTATTAAGGGAAACCTTTATTACTCAGAATTTAGATTGTTGTTGCTTCCGTTCACTTACGAATGTTACTGAACACTTCAATCGGCGTTGAAACATGGTCAAAACGGTGTTTTTTCTGAACTAGTTATAGGGCCCCTTTACTTCTGACACATCAAGATTGAACTTTTATTACAGAATGTATTTGGATTGGTTCCATGTGTAGAAATGTTGCGTGTTATTGGTAACCCTTTTATGAAATTCGTTTAGATCGAGCTGTCTGTGCTCTGTAAATATGCCATTTTCAATTTGGTGTCACCCCCTGGGATGGCGTCACCCGCAGCGGTCCGCACCCCGGCACCCGCTAGCTACGCCACTGGGACTCTTCAACCAGCGCCTCGAGACTAACAGGACAACAACTATGGTATCAAGGATTATTAGAGTTGTAAAGCGATCCTTTATTACACTATTGAGCGTTTGCATGTATCACTCAAATGTCTCTAAATGTAGCATTGCCCTTGTGCTTGTTCCTTCCCGCCTGCTGACGTCATCGCCAGATTTACGAGCCTGGCAAACGGTTGACACTCAAAGCTTTTATTATACAACCCCCGAACTGCACCTGATTACTTGTATTTGTCTAAATTTTGGTTTAGGGTTCGAAGAAATTTCCCACAATGCAGGTCAGCGGGTTTCAAGGGTGAAGCGAGCGGTAATCTCTAGCGAGCTGCCAATAACAGATTTTGGCTGGTCAGGACGTCCAGGTTTGAGAAGCTTTTTTTATTATTTTTTTTTTCAATACCTTGTCGTAAAATGTGAATAGATCCTACTCTGATTATGAAGTGAGATTTTGAATACCGGCAGAAGGAAGTAAATAAATATACGTACCTTATAAAAGCATTTACGACCCTGACCATTTTGCCCATAGTTATTCTCTACCTAGGTGGTTCTTAAACCGTTGACATGTTATTGGAATATGCCGAACTAGAGATTTGTTTCCACTGCACACTATGTCACGTGAAGTCGATAAATGGCAAGAAACCATTTTTTGTGGTTTACATTTTGTCTTTACTCAGCAAATATGCAAGATGTTAAAAAAGAAAATATTCCATTAAATACACAATGTTGATTAATGATTTAATATTCAATTTTAAATAATGATTTAATATACAATGTTGATTAATGATTTAATATGCAATGTTGATTTAATATTCAATGTTGATTAACGACTTTGCGATGATCTGATGATGCAACAATGCGATATGAAAGCAAACTGTGAGGTTCTCTTCTATTAATTGAAATTCGATGTAGTTGATAGAGGCACTTTAAGGCACTCGGGATGGTGACGTCAACGTTGAGCTGACACAGCTTAAATTGATATTGGGTATAAGAATTCCAAAGTTTGAGAGATCGTAACAAGGGTTTCTGCTAGAGAAGAAAAGTTTAGCAATGTTACTCTATTTTATGGAAGGTAGTTAATACATTGGTACTTTTTGCATTTAAAAGTAAAATATTCTTCTTGGAACATGCTTATTTTTAATCCAGTCATTTTTTTTTGTTGGCATAAAAGTAAATAAATGAATAAATATTTCCTAACATTGTAAATTAGGAATAGTGACAAGTGACTTTAAATTATAATGTTGAAATAACTGGTATCAATTCAATTATCATTAAATAATAAAGGCTAATTAATGCTAATAAATAGAAGATTCTAGATACCATACAATATTTATCAGTATGCCTAATTATCATACTTCATCATGTGATACAATTTTTTGTAAATATTCAAATATACCGGTATGTCATATTTTAATATCTTACTGAATAACTAAAGACCAGAGTCTCTTAGAAAACTCCCTTTTTGGTATAGCTTTCTTAACGTGGTTGACAGATGGAGCTGATTATTGTACTAAGGGGATGAGAAATTAGTCGCAAAGGTGAAGTAGCGGTAAACATTAGAGCACCCATTGTTTAGAAGATTTGGATGAATCTTAAATATGTTTCGGATAAAGAAATCCTTATTGCCGTTGATGTTATTAAGCTTATTGCATCTTTTGTGTGATTTTCCTACCAGATTCGCCTCCCAAGATAACTTGCCCCATTATTGGCGACACCCACTATGCTGACAAAGGAAAGATCACAGCGAAAATATCTTGGGAAAAGGCAAAGGCATATGACGAGGAGGATGGTGTTATTCAGTAAATTATTTATTTATCGCTGTAAAATTCTCTGTGTTATACTTAATGATGTATTTGATAGACAAATAATATTTATAAATAAATAAATAAATAAATATATATATATATATATATATATATATATATATATATAAATATGCCATAGAATGTGATAATTTAAAGTTTTAATTCAATTTTAAAATAATAAATTAAAACACAGAAATAAGGGAAACATTTTAACAACACATTTAATGTGCTTGGAAGCGTTCGAAAAAAAATTCAATTTAAAACATTTGAATTAGAACACAGAATTGATTGTGCTTGTACGCGTCTGACGCTATTTAATATTGATTTCGTGGCTGGTGTTAATTTTTCAGAGTAACCAAAATTCAGGGGCAAGAACAAGGGTCGGATCACTCATTTGGAAATCATGTCGTGGGTTATGTGGCCTTTGATTCAGTGGGGCAAAGTGCGCTTTGTTCAGTTAACTTCACGGTCATTGGTAAGAAGTAAAAAGTCTTCTTTTTTTCTTATTTTTAAAAACTTTTTTGAGGAAAAAAAAATGGATCGCTATGTCCTACAAAGCCTGCTATGCATATCCCCTTTCAACATAGTTCGTGATTCTTCGTGGCGGTACTTTCAAATGAGAAAATTTAGATATTTTATCAATCATAAGTAAAAACAATAACAAATTATTTAATACTGGCAATAATAATCACAAATAATTCTTTTGTTTTAAATTATAATGTTGAAACTAAAAAAAACTAAAGAAAAAATGGGCGGATTTTTTCATCACGTTGTGAATGTAAAATTAATTTTTAAATAATTTATAGGTCGACTCCTTAAAACAAATTCATAACCATTTAATTTGGTGTGAGTATCCCAACACTTTGTAAATTGTTTCAACGGAATTCGACTTCAATACATAGTCACTTTCTGGCAAATGCCATTTATAGATGTAAGTTATTGAAAATAAAATAAGTTAGAATAAAATCAGTGTTAAATCCATAAATGATCTGAAGGATCGTACAATAGCCCCAACTATATTTTGATACGAACAGTTTTAAGATGTCCATATGAACTGACCTACCTCTACCATGGAGTTGTGGCGTGTGACCAGGTGGACAACTCCAACATTTATGGTAGTAAGTGCTCTTACACCTGTGATGTTGGCTTCGAGCTGGTTGGGGCACCTGGTGCCGAGTGTCTGAAAAATGAAACCTGGAGTAATCTCAAACCAAGTTGCAAAGGTGAGAGTCTTAAAGATCATAAGGGAAGCTTCATTATTTTGATATAGCGGGTACATAAAAAGTTGTGGTCTTTATATATTATTAGACACTGAATATATTTATGTTAAACATGTTGTTTTAGTTAATCAGCTAATTATAAGAGTGTTTTAGCAGATCATGTTGACAAAGAGATTTAAAAAAAAAACAAAAAAAAACAATAGCAACAACAAAAAATATCTTTTCTCTTTCCGAGGGACAAGAGCATTAGGGACACGCTCCTTAGAAAGATGCCAACCTAACCTGTTGTTAAAGCACACATAGGCACTAAAAGTTGCAACCGTAGCCATTGTAACACATGTACCCATGCCAATGAAGTTGATAAGGTCATTTTAACTTTGGAAATATTCAGACTCGAAGATGGTTTTGCTTGCAAAAGTCACGACGTGATTTACACCATGGTTGTAACAATGTCATTTTTACACCATCATTGTAACATCGTGATTTACACTATCCTTAGTAAAAAACATCGCCTTGGAGACCATTTTAATAGACACGTACAATGGATAAACAAGCTCTGTGTTCAGTGTCTAAAAAAATTCAATAATGCCAACCACTATGGAATATTATACATTGAAGTTCCTGGTATATTGTATGCGTATATTTATTTACACAAGTTGTCTCATTACTAAATCTTGTTTTAGGTAACACAATATAAGTATTATGTGAAAGAAATCACAGGAGCTGAGAGGCCTACACAATAAAATCTGAAAATTGGCCATGGAATTATGTAAATCAAGATTTAATTGTATGATTGTATGGCTTAGAAGTTTGGGATCATACATAAAAATGACATTCGTAAATAGGAAAAGGGTGGGGGGGGTCGTTTCGAAATGGACCACTGCGGACATTAGCGGGAGTGGGGTGTGAAGGATTTTGAAACATTAATATCTCTATAATGTCTTATGCGGACGTCTGCAACCAGGGTGGTGTTTAGGGGTGTGGGTAAAGTGGTGTTCCACATGTTGACTGTCAGACTGCCATTTGTACTGGATTGGTTAATTCGCCACGTTCTTTCACACTGTTGGAATACGTCGTGCTTATATTGAATCAACTCAAGTCCATTATCACAATAACTAATTAAATGCACAGGCTTTCATTTTCATAAACACATGCATTTAGCGCAGCTCGCTATCAGACAGAAATAAAACACATCCTACCTCCACAAAGTTCCATCCACGACTGCCAGACGAATAAAACGTACGTCACAAAACAGCCTAAACAGACGTCATCGTGAGCTTAAAAATACTCACAGAGTCACACGCGAGAAGAGCATTCACTAGCTGATTAATTTTAGAAATGATACAAATAATTTGTTGAAGAGATTTTATGAATTGAAGGCCTGGCCTTAAAAATTACTGAGTCGTACAAAACATTGATGATAAGGTCATTAATTATCAGTAATTGTCTGACGTGCCTCAATATGTTTACTATTCGAAATTATTGATGCAGTAACTATAAATACAATGCCACCATTATATATCTTAATGAGTTGAGAAATGAGCTAAAATTTTAATAACACTTACATTTAGAGTAAAGAGAATCCCATATTGATATATATTTACTCCAGCTGTCTCCTGTGGAGCACCGTCAAGTTTGGAGCATGGTATATTGGTCTGTAGCAGTTTGGAGTACTCGTATGGCTCAATGTGTTTGGTCTCCTGTCAGATGGGATATGCCGTGAGTGGAGAGGAAAAGATAACGTGCCAAGCCAACAAAGCATGGACATCTCCTGGCCAGTGTCTAAGTGGGTACTAAATTCTAACACAATATTTTGTATGGACTTCTCCTGGCCAGTGTCTGAGTGGGTACTTAATTCTAACACAGTATTTTGTATGGACATCTCCTGGCCAGTGTCTGAGTGGGTACTAAATTCTAGCACAATATTTTGTATGGACATCTCCTGGCCAGTGTCTGAGTGGGTACTTAATTCTAACACAATATTTTGTATGGTCATCTCCTGCCTGTGTCTGAGTGGGTACTTAATTCTAGCACACTATTTTGTCTGGTCATCTCCTGGCCAGTGTCTGAGTGGGTACTTAATTCTAACACAATATTTTGTATGGACATCTCCTGGTCAGTGTCTGAGTGGGTACTTAATTCTAACACAATATTTTGTATTGACATCTCCTGGTCAGTGTCTGAGTGGGTACTTAATTCTAACACAATATTTTGTATTGACATCTCCTGGTCAGTGTCTGAGTGGGTACTTAATTCTAACACAATATTTTGTATGGACATCTCCTGGTCACTGTCTGAGTGGCTACTTAATTCTAACACAATATTTTGTATTGACATCTCCTGCCTGTATCTGAGTGGGTACTTAATTCTAGCACACTATTTTGTCTGGACATCTCCTGGCCAGTGTCTGAGTGGGTACTTAGTTCTAGCACAAATTTTATACGGACATCTCCTGGCGGGTACTTAATTCTAGCACAATATCGTAATAAAATTTCTGAATTATATTTAAAATTTAAATAAGGGCTATTAACAAAATCATTTTCTTCAATCTTAAAGCTGTAACTATGTGTTGTTCCCTTTGTCTGATGTAGCACAGAGTTGCACACCAGTGTACATCCCAGAAAACTCTGTTGTCTCCTGCTCAGACGGCACACTGTTTGGTTCTGTATGCAGCATGAAATGTTCAGATACCTTTGAGCTCCAGGGCGACTCATTGGTGACATGCCAAGGCAACAACACCTGGAGCAGCAATAACACCATTTGTATACGTAAGACTTTGCATTGCATCTTAATTTCAACAAAAGGTAGCACAATTTCAAATTCACTATAGAACATTCTGGGCATAAGAAGAGACATGCAAAGGGCAACATAGCTCCATGTTGAAATCTTGTGGGTCTCTACCCAAATGATTAAAATTGACTCCTGGAAACATGTACCGTCTTTTGCATCAAAATATTTCACTCCCATAATAAAGATCAAATAAAAGGAAGCTTAAAAATAAAAACATCACTAAGGTGGAAAAAATGGAATACAACTCACATAAAGGTAACATTTTATTTTATAGACAGACATTTGAAATTGATAGTATTTGTTAACGATGTTAATAGACAGACATTTGAAATTGATAGTATTTATTAACGATGTTAATAGACAGACATTTGAAATTGATAGTATTTGTTAACGATGTTAATTTTTAAATAAAAAAAATCATTTTCTTATAAAACAACTATAATTAATATAAATAAAGACGTAAGGATTTATCGCCACATCGTAATATTGCTCTAACGTCTTCTACTTTTGCTCCAAACTCAGCAAACTGCCCCACTCCACTCTCACCTTCACACAGTCGCTATATTTGTGACAATGGGCAACGACGTGATGCCATATGCAATCTTCAATGTGACCCAGGCTTTGAACCTCAACTTCCCATCAGTATTACCTGTAACTCGGACATGACATGGTCTAAATCTGGATCTTGTTTAGGTATGACCAGCTTCTTTCAATTTAGCAAATGACAATGATTATCTCACAAGACCATTTAACCGCAAGCCTTCAAGTTCACTAGGTAATAAAAAGGACCAAATATATAAATCAAAATTGCACAATTTATTATACTAAAAAAAAATAAAGGAAAAGAAAGTAGAGTAAAAGTATATCAATAAGGAAAAAATAAATAAAACGAAGCAGGTGAAAGCGAAAAATTAGTTGAACACAATAAACGAAAACAATCGATCAACATTCCAAATCTGATGATTAACTTGATCTATATATACATTTTTTCTTGTGTACTCTTAGCATACAGAACACTGACTACTACAATGTCAAATATCCCATTATGGTTAACGCTCTAAAATTTTCGGACATGAAGCATAGTGTTATTTTGCGAATGTAAAGTAAATCTTAGAATAGCTTTTTATAGAACGACTGAGAAAGAAAAGAAATGTATTTTAAAAGTCACTTTGAGTAGGTAAAATTCAGCTGGAAATAGTAAAAATAAATATTTGAGGGTGACATTATTTTGTGAAAGTTAACACCATACATCCAAAGGTAGAGCTATGGTGAAGCCGGAATGAAGCAAACACTAATTACATTTTTAAAACGAGATTTATTTACAGTTTCATGCTACTTCATATTTCATGTAAAGCAGTGAGGTGGTTGGGGCGTCTGGTGCCGAGTGATTACGTCTTTAGTGTAAAAATAATCGATTTGATGAGTAACGGAAGGGAGGGACATGATTTCAAAGAGATTTGACAAATTTTGATACTTTGAAAACTTGATTTATAAAATTCTTAAACCCCATTAATAGAAGCCATATTTTTAAAAAAAATTCTTCAAACAGATAAGATGGCGCCGGTCTTCCCTAAAGGTTGTACTGATGATATGGAGCTTCACGCCACGGGCTTGGGTAGACCAACATTGGTCAACTATACCATGCCTCCAGTAGAAGACAACTCTGGCGACAGCGTCACTTCCTCTGGAGTTCCAGCTCCATTTTCAGCGTTTCCGGTTGGCCAAACTGTTGTAACAATCACAGCAACTGATTCAAGTGGCAACAATGCAACTTGTCAGTTTAATGTTTCTGTGCAGTGTAAGCAATTAAAAAAAAACAACAACTATTTAACTATAAGAAACAATTTTGTCATATATACATATTTCATTTACTTGATCATACTAATTATGGCTTCTGAAAATTTATTTCATGTATTCAAGTTTGAAATTATCAAGGATCCCTTGAATCCATTATTTTTAAATTATGACATATCTAGATAAGGACATTGTCATAGCACATACAATGTTTTAGTCGTCAAAAGTTAGAAAATATAGGGCACACCATGTCCTTATGACATAGTGTAATTAATCCATTGAATTGATTTAGATATGGGTAGTTATTATTTTTATTTGAGTTTTTGATTTGAGGCTACGAGGGTTTTAAAGTGAATCTGTGGAAGTGTGGAAAAGGATGGATCGTTCAAGAGGATAATGTTAGTGATGGTTGAAGAATGTTAGAAGTTTCTAGGTAAACAATAAGATTTAAGCATTTAAACCAGCTCATTCAAAATGGTTAACAACAATTAAATTAAAATATTTACAGACTTAATTATTGACATAAATTAATTTTAAAAATGACAATTTTTTTTCAAAATTTCTTTTAGATTATTTGTGTAAGAATCCCAATGACGTCAACAGTCAGGGCAAAAATATACACTATAATTGTTCTGATGGCTTTATGGTGGGTGCTGTGTGTGTGGCTACTTGTATTAACGGATCAGCCGTTAAGGGTGCTACATCGGTTACATGTGAATGGGTAGTAGGCAGCGATGTGGCACAGTGGACGTGGTCAGGCAGCTTTGGTCCATACTGTCAAGGTCAACATTTACACTTAAAAAAATATTATTCAAGATGTTTAATTGTATCAATTCTAAAATTATTATGAAACATTTAAAATTCGCTTTCTGTTATTTACTGACAAACTGTTACGTTGAATATTTGAACTCTAAATCACAGAAGGTCAAAGGTTTTTAATAATTTGTATGAGGCTTAATGAGCCTTACAAAACTTTGCCAATAACCAAAAAAACAAAAACAATGTATAGCCGTAGTTTCTAAACTATGTCATGTTTATCCATTGCAAACTTCTGCACCTTAGATCTGTGCCACCCTGGCCAAAACTCATCCAATGGGAAACAGCCCTGTCAGCCTTGCCTTAAAGGAACTTACCAATCAAACTTTGGTAACTCATCATGTGACATCTGTCCCTACGGAATGTCCACCGTGATCAGGGGAGCAGAAACAGAGGATGCATGTGAACGTATGTTTTCAGTTTAATTCTAACATATTTTGTTTTGGGTCAGATCTGTGAAGACAAAAATTTTCAACTTTAACCCTATGAGTGTCTGGTTTCTTTCAGCACAGATTCTTGTCTTTTAAATGAAATAACTAGAGGTTTCTTTGTAGGTAAATGTTCAACTCATGGTTGTTTTTAAATGATTATAAACGTTTTCCCCATTTGTTTTGATTCTGATTCAAACTGAAATAATAAAATTGAACTCAACAATCTTCCATACCATGATGGACAAAATCCTTATATTTTTATAATTATTTTATGACTTTTTTTTTTAAATTTCCAGCCTTTGACTTGCCAATCATACTTAACATGAGCTACCCCTTTATCGCCATGTATGAATTCAAACCAAGCTCACTAACCATGCTGACGTGGATATATGTCAGGTCCCAGGTGCCCAACACGATTTTGAAATTTTCCCTAAGGTCAATCATTGGGTCTGCTTTTCTCAGCCTGGATGCTGTTGGGGTCTACATCCTTCCAGTGGAAACTACAGACAAGACGCCAATAAGGTATAGAGAAAGGAAAGTTGAATTGTTTACTTTTGAACAGGAAGTAATGTGTTCCTTTTGAATATAATGTAAATTGTTGAAAAATCTTGGAATTGTGATGTGTTCTAATGATGTGATATGTTCATAGATTGTTTTTTTAAAAATTATTCTATATTATTCTATATTAATGTATCCAAGCTAAATATTTGTAAACATTAATTTGTTTAAAAATTATTCAAATTGTTTATAATAATTGTCATAAGTTTAAATTAACTAATTGTCTTATGCAACCCTAGATAACCATTCCGTTAACAAGAGAAGTAACATAGATAGGCCAACATATTTTTGCAGGAGTCATGCCAAGGGTTGCAAGTAAACATTATAAAGTCTACCTTTTCTTACTATTACTTACAATAATAAAGCTTTATGAAAGTACATAGTTGGCTTCTTATGTCAGTTGTTTTAATTTTTGTTTTTTCTTAGAAAATGGTACCATGTGGCTCTAACTTTTCTCAATGAAAATGTGACATTGTACGTGAATGGAGAACCTAAAGACAACGTGAAAGGTCTCTGGGTCTCTGATCTTTGGAAAAAGACGTTTATATTGAAATTTGAAGGCAATGCAATAAATTTCATCACAAATAGTAAGTAACTGTTACAATTGTGTACACAGTGACTTGAAAATGAGTACATGTTACACTGATGTACACTATAATATGAAAAGTACTTGCAAGATAAAGTTTAAAAAATAGTAAGGATATGTACTAATGTGCGATATTACTCACTTTACAAGAATGGCTCAGTAAAAAGGCCCACTGAGCTGGAAATAGTGACATACCTTTGTTTATGTGTGTGTTGTGGAGGGGGGGCCTTAGGTATGTAGCTCACCTCTGTTATTTTCGGTACAGGAAGAGATCCTTTTTTATATGAAAATTGGTTTTTAATTGTAGGATCACAGCGAAATTTGTGCCCCAGTTTTATGCTTTTCATTTTGTTTGTTCCAGAGATTGTCTTAGGTGGTGTGCAGCTCACTCCTAAATATTTATTAGAAGCAGACGTGAGAGAATTTATAACAACCTGTAAAAAGAAGATGGAGGATAATGTCCTTGTGGCACTTGTGATAGAGCCAACCATGGAAAAACCAAGTACTTGTGATGGTAAGATGAATGACATTAAAACACGCAGAGTTAAGGAATTGTATCATAATTTCGCTTGATTTGTTCAATAATTATTTTTAAATAACTGTTTTAATCGACACAAACAACAACTGACTGGACTTCATCTGTTGTTTCCAAAGCTTTACCAGGTAAAATTAAGTCAATTTTTCAATAATAAAAATTTAAAGTGACGTTTGCAGTTGACTACTGGTGACTTAAAATTTTCATTGTTTAGAGCAATGACTCTAAAAAGCTTACTCAATATTCATCTTTTTTATAAATGATTTAGATATTATATTTCAAGTTGCATTGCAATATTTAGTCAGTGAAACATTCATGTTTTGAAACTAAAGACCAACATTTTAAACAGTGTTTACAAGATCTAGTGGGAATTTAAATAAAAAATAAGCAGATATCATTCTCATAAAAAATGTTTGCCCCTTAACCCTAAACCCTAACTTTTCCCCAAAATCATAAACTTTTGTTTCAAGTGGTGGATGACTGCGTCGGAGACCCGTGTGGTCAACATGGCGTGTGTTTTGATGAGCCTGGCAGAGCCAGATGTGTGTGCGACGCCTACTGGTCAGGCGAGAGGTGTGACTTCCAACCAAACTATTGTAATGGTCACTTGTGTGCTAATGGAGCTACATGTGTAAGCAACGCTGGCTTTATGAACTACACGTGTGTGTGTGCTGATGGTTATAGTGGCGTCTTTTGTAATCAAACAGTTGGTAAGTAAAAATAAAAAATATCTTAGAAAGCAGAAATTGCATTCTAAAGAAAATGTTTTTTTTTAGTAAATACTTTTTATAATTATTATTAAATTATTCAAACATTTTGCACAAGACCTAAAGAGCTAATCTGGTATCTAAAGAACTTAGGTTGAGCCCATGAACTTTCTGCAGTCCTTGAATTTAATTTCTCTTAAAGTTACTTAGTATGAGAAAAAATGTATATATTACACCTATAATTGGACTGGTAAAGATAATGTTAAGCGTAGAGAAAGGATTTTTTTCATTTTAAATTGAATATTTGTTCCCAGTTTATGGCAACTGGAGCTCTTGGGGACTGTGGTCAACTTGTTCAGTTTCATGTGGACTAGGTCAGAGGTCAAGGCAACGCCAATGTAACAGACCCAGATCAGATGGCGTTAATTGCCTTGGATTAAATGTGGATTACCAAAGGTGTTATGGATACAAATGCCCAGGTAAAAAAAAACTCTTATTCTTTCTAATCCCTTGATTTTAAACAGTCTTCCAGTTTCCTTTTTTTTTAAACAAAGTAGCATTCATCCGTTTGATTTAAATATGTTTACTTCATAACACTGATTATCTTAGTGGTATGTGTGTGGCATAGGATTTTATATTTGTAGACCACAAATGATGAAGTAATGTATAGCATTTTTGTTACTCAAAAGTTGATGGAGGCTATGGTGGATGGTCCGAGTGGTCGAAATGTAGTGTAACATGTGGTGGGGGTGTGGCCACAAGAAGGCGTGTCTGTGACAGTCCTGTGGTCAGCATGAGTGGAGCGGACTGTGATGCTAGTCTGGCTACAGGCAGCATGCAATGCAACACTGGACCTTGCCCAGGTAGGTCTTACACCAATTGTTCTACTTTAGTAGACCTACTCATTATTTGTTCATTAATTCTAGAATTATTTGTTCAATATGTGATGCATTAAATTTTTTCTGGATTAGGGAAATTCTAAGAAATAAACTTTTAATGAAAATTTGACAAGATTACAATTTAACACTTAGACCCTTTTCACAATAGCATGTCGAGTGCTTTCTACCAGAGCCGGTCATGCATCATTAACATGCTCAGACAACCCAGAAGGGACAGTCAAAACTTGCAATATTCAATGTCGGCCTGGACTGACAATCATGCCGGACACTGTTAACATCTTCCGGTGTGGACTTTTATCAAGCTATAGATGGTCTCACCAAACTGACCAAAATCCTGAAGCTTTCTTACCAGACTGTTCTGGTGAGTCATCAAGTCATCTCATGTCTCTGAAAGAAATGTAGGCCAAATATTTACTAACATAATAATCTATGTACTCAAATAGAGCTACTTATAAATTTGGTTTTTCTTCTTTTCAAACTCAGAAAATTTGCATTATAAATAAATATTACTTAATTAGTTTTCTTTACACGTTTATGTTAGTTGGGGTATTTGGGAAGTTGATAATACACTGCTTTTATTATACATATACATGATAACATAACTTAATTTAAAAAATTAGTTTGCAAAATAACTGTTTTTCGTGAGTTTTTATTTAGGAACCATAATGTATTAAAGGAAATGTAGTTCTTGAATTAAAAAAAAAAAATTAAATATCTTCCAGAAACAAAACGACCTTCAAAAGTTACATTAAGGCTGACATTTCAGTATGACAATGTGAGTAAATCAATGGCAGGTGAACTTATTGAAAGAATCACGGCAAATGTTAATCAACAATTGGATTGTATCAAGACCAACTCCTGTGCCTTCAATGTCACCCTGACATGCACATCTTGTAAATATTCTGAGAACACAACTGATGTATTGGGTGGTAAGTTCACCTCATCCAATTCACAAATAAATAAAATCTGAGTTTAATAAACACTATTTTTTAAAATAAATTATTTAAAAAACTAAATCAGAATTTAATGACTTTTGTTTATTGCATTTTTAAATCATTAATAACATCCAATCCTGTCATGGGAACAGTAAATATTATTATTTGTATTGTTTAATATTTAACAGGAATATCAAGCCCAATCGTTGGAACAATTACTGTTGAAACTAATGCTAACCTGATACCTGTAGTACCTCAGTACCTCAGTAAACTTTCAGGTAAACAACCTAGTCCAAGTTTAAAATGTAAAATGTAACAAAATACATTAATTGCATAATTTTAACGAGAAAAGGCTAAAACTTCAAACATATTTTAAATAAATACAGTTTTATTCCTAACTAAAAAAAAAAATGAAAGTTCTTATTCAATTCATTAAAAAAAAAATTTCTTATAGTTTTTGAGACTGAAAGCACAAATTGGTGTTTAATAACCATATATGCCAATGAATGTGGCTCATTTTTAAATGAACTGTTGTTGTTTAGCGTGAGACTTCGGACATTACATAGGATTGCAATTTTTTTGTGTGTGGTATAGATCAGTGTTTCTCAAATGGTTGTCCGCTGACCAGCGCGGTCCGTGAATTTTACGTTGCTGGTCAACACAACATGAATTTTTATGATCGAATAAAAAAAGAAAATTTAATTTGGTCAATCTGGCACCAGTTCCTGATGCAATTTCAAAATGTTTCCACCTGGCGTAGGTAACTTAAGAAACTTGTCTGGTGATATAAAACAGCTTTTAAAAAAAAATTCTTTTATTAATAATAAGTACTTTAGTGCTACTCATCTTTTTATAGGCGTTAGTATAATAATCCCCACACATTACGTTTGCCACTTTGGCCTATGGGTTGCAAAAAGGGAAAAGTATCTAACCCAACTATATCTTATGTAGTTTTCCTTCAACGTGATATACTCTCTGCAGACACTGAGAGACAATTAGAAATTCTCAGAGCTGAGACTATACTTCAACTGGTGAACGATACCAGGGTAATCCTCAGCTTCTCCATAGGCCAGGAGCAGCATATTGGGAGGGCTTTAGCAGCAATAATAACTGCAATCTGCCAAGACGGAGCTGGATTGGTCAATGGCTTTTGTGGTAAATGTTCTTTGTGAATAAGTAAGGTGTTAAGTTAACTCGTTCATTTCCTGCATGGCAGGAGACTGAAGAAGCAGTACAACTTTTTTATGTCGATGTCAAAATATTTAAGCATTTCGGGCATAATTTTATTTTCATTAGATTTTATCCTTTTGCATTGCGTTAGTGATATAGAGCGACCATCAACTTTTAAAGATTTATCATGGCAGTGTTTGAATCACACATATAAACAAATGTAATAGAAATAAATAATTGAAATGAGTTAAAGACTCGTTCAATATAAAGATATTTAATAACACATCTATTATAAAGATAGTTTATGACTTATACATTATAAAGATAGTGAATGACTCATAAATATTAAAACGACTTGAGATGAACAAAAACCCTATATTATGATAGTTTTAAATAAATTGCTTATTTTGTTTAGTTTTCAAACCAATGCAGTATTTAATTTTTTTTTAAAAATTCCTTTTGGCTTAGTGGACTGCCCAGCAGGCTCGTATTTGGCATTGAATGGATCGTGTGTTTTATGCAGTCCTGGGACTTACCAGAATCAAACACAGATGACGTCATGTGTTCCATGTCCTAAATGTATGCCATCCTCATCTTCATGCTAATTAGTTTTGTAATACGCCTTTGACAAAAGGTTTTGTAGTTTTTTGATTTGTTAAACCATAATCAATTTCAAAAATCAAATCAACTGCAACACCTTTTGTTTAAGTTGTTGATGTTTTTGGTATGAGTTGCTATGTGTTCAAACATGAAAAAAAAAAAAAAAATTTTGCCCTGCTGTTAAAAGTTATCTTTATAAAAACAACAAGAAGAAAAAACAAAAAAACAAAAAACTACACAGTCATTTTCATTGAGTATACGATATGTAAGTTTCACAGAAGATTATTCATAAACTGTGGCTTTAGGATATTTAAGTCCATAGAAAATAAATGTGGAAAGGGTTTTTTAAATCGTTAGTTCTTCTGATTTTTAACAATTTCAGGACTGCTGCTTTGATTTTGTTACAATGGCTTAGAGTATTTCTATCACTTCTGATAACTAGACAAGTATCTATGTATCATACATAAAACTGGTATCCATGTACCATACAGAAAGCTAGTATTCATGTATCATACATAAAGCTAGTATCCATGTATCATACATAAAGCTAGTATCCCTTTATCATACATAAAACAAGTATCCGTGTATCATGCATAAAACTAGTATCCATGAATCATGCATAAAACTTTGAGAAAATGACGTGTACCAGCTATTCTCAGGGTCAGATGAAATAACAGGTTTGATGTTTGATCTCTATAGCAGTCAACCGAAAGAGACTTATTTTAATCAATTACAGGTCGACCACACTTACTAAAGGGTAACTTTTTTTATAAATTGTTCCAGGTCTCCTGTTGAATGAATTTTTATGAATTAAAGTATTGGAATGAACAATAATGAACGTATCAAACAGTGTTGTTTGCATCATGCTTGTGAACAAACACATTCTAAGGTCACTGGAGTAATCTACAAGAATCAAATAATTCAACGTTTTCATGCCTGTTTATTTCTGTATTATCTAAAGGAACAAGTTTCTTTTAAAAATAATGGTAATGTGTTCACCAGGATTATGACTAGGAATATGACATCAAAGTAAGCAGATAACTTGTAAGGATGAGTAATGCTATTTCTTTTTTTTTTTTTTCTATAGGCAAGACAAACCTAGGTTATGGAGCATATTTATTGACACATTGCACCAACGACAGCCAACCAGCGTGTAATGCATCTCCACCAGGCCCCACAGGTAGGACATACGGCTTATCCAAGTCTACAAAAAATTTTACATTCTACTTAAATGGACATTTTTGTTAGTCAGCATTCTTTTTTCTGGTATTTCTTAATGTTAACTGCTAGTTTCGAAAGGGAAATTTTAATGTTGATATTTTTTATTATTTTTTTTTTTGCCTAAGTATTTCTAAATTTGTTTTAACAATGAATTGAAGGGGAAAAAATGTGGATGAGGCAGTAAAGCAGAAATAATTTTTTCTAAAGAATCAAATAGATGTACGTAAACACTTATGAATATTTTAATATTATTGAAATTTATTTAGGGGAGAATTACACTGCTCTGATAATTGGTGTTGTCTGCGGTGCATCAGGACTTATCATCATTGTTACTTTGGCATCGATTATATTCAGAAGGTACGTTGTATATTTTTGTAGGCTATCTGGGGCACTTACAATATCACAAATTAATTAAATCAAATCAGAAATCAACTAAAATGATCGTTAAATATCTTAATATCTTTTTTTATTTCCCCATGCAATTATTTCAAACTGTTTTGAGATTTTAGAAGCCTTTAAAAAAAAAACATACTTCTAAAAATATATTTACATATTTAAATCATCCACTTAAGCTCTTTTGTCATACTATACGTGGAAATGCAGACTTCACCAAAACTAATTGTTCTATTATGTGATTAATTATAATTTTAATTATTTCTAAAGATTGGACGAAGAATTCTATGTCAAACTGATGAGGGGAAATTAGCTCCCTTTGTTCAGTTGTATTACAAAGGCGCTTCTTGTGAAATAATTATGTAGTCAATGCTGCTCCTTTTCTTTTTTTTTACCTGCTACAACTTATTGTGCTGCATACATAGTGAAGCTATGTTACCTTGTTAGTTGACGTTGAAAACAATGCTTTCATTTTAGGCTTTTAAGTCCCGTTAACATATTTTTATTCCAACAAAATGATTTGCTGCATTCCTTTCATTTCTTATGCTCAGTATCTTTGCCACTCAATATTTGGATTTTCTCCCTGTTCTTTCATAAGACAAATAAAAAGACATCCTTTCAAGCTGAGCCCGTATGACATCCCTGGGTCGGCCAACGGCACCTGCGAGGATGACTATGAGACTCTCCCACAGGCTAACGATTATGATGTCATTGCCGACAACCCTTACCCCGGCGACAACGGGTTAAAGGAAATGGTCGAGTACTCCAAGTCAGTAGATGACACCAGTGCAGGAAATGAGATCAGCGCAGGAAGCATGAGCTACATTGATGTCATCGACGAACCAACATCCGGGGACTCTGCAGACTTGGGAAGAAACGATGAAAGTGAAAAGAGAGATGACACCCAAGCCACCGACGACCTTCAGAATACATTGTATAAACTTTATGATAATAAAAGTTTCCTTACCGAAGGAATAAGTGGTGAAGACGAAATGGACATTGAGGTGAAAAATAAAGAAAATGTTGAAGATCCGCCTTCGGTTGCCGAGAGCCTGAATGACGTCGGCGATGGTGTGTGTGATGGACGCAGATCATTACCACCACTTCCACCGATACCACATGGAAGACATGCACTTGTTGGATCAGACGGTGCTTCTGTCAGACATACAACATATACGCCTGCTAATGACTACATTACGCCCGTGTAACAGGCAAACACTTTTGTCTAATACGTCTGTGATAATTTGTTTTAAGAAAGGGACATATCTACTGTTTCAAATTAATTACACAACAGAAACTAAAACTTTAAAGCTATTCAAAATTAATCATAAAAAATGCACACATATTTTTTTTCACACCTCTTCAAGAGGTTAACCGATAAAAAATGTCAAAAGTAAATGTTCTGATCCTATTTTAGGCCAATGCCTACAGAAAATCACTACTAAAATGTATCCATGGAACGATCATAGATAATGTTTTATGCAGTGGCGAAGGATTTGTGTGTCTGAAGCGTGTAGGTTCCTCCTGGCAGCATTTTGTGTGTAAATAATGTGTGACTTAGTAGGGCATCTTGAAAAGTGTAAATGGTGTGTGACTTAGTAGGGCATCTTGAAAAGTGTAAATGGTGTATGACTTAGTAGGGCATCTTGAAAAGTGTAAATGGTGTGTGACTTAGTAGGGCATCTTGAAAAGTGTAAATGGTGTGTGACTTAGTAGGGCATCTTGAAAAGTGTAAATGGTGTGTGACTTAGTAGGGCATCTTGAAAAGTGTAAATGGTGTATGACTTAGTAGGGCATCTTGAAAAGTGTAAATGGTGTGTGACTTAGTAGGGCATCTTGAAAAGTGTAAATGGTGTGTGACTTAGTAGGGCATCTTGAAAAGTGTAAATGGTGTGTGACTTAGTAGGGCATCTTGAAAAGTGTAAATGGTGTGTGACTTAGTAGGGCATCTTGAAAAGTGTAAATGGTGTGTGACTTAGTAGGGCATCTTGAAAAGTGTAAATGGTGTGTGACTTAGTAGGGCATCTTGAAAAGTGTAAATGGTGTGTGACTTAGTAGGGCATCTTGAAAAGTGTAAATGGTGTGTGACTTAGTAGGGCATCTTGAAAAGTGTAAATGGTGTGTGACTTAGTAGGGCATCTTGAAAAGTGTAAATGGTGTGTGACTTAGTAGGGCATCTTGAAAAGTGTAAATGGTGTGTGACTTAGTAGGGCATCTTGAAAAGTGTAAATGGTGTGTGACTTAGTAGGGCATCTTGAAAAGTGTAAATGGTGTGTGACTNCCCCCCCCCCCATCTTCAATAACGTACTTTCATGGACATTATTATGATTATCCATATACATGTTTAAGCTGTTGTTGATACAAAGTTACGCGGATGCGAAAGTAATAACAAATAACGATACATTTTACTGCGATTATTATTGTGAACGATAATTAAAAAAAAAAAAACAACAACATTTGAGTGCGACATTAAAATTTCATATTTAGATGTTTTATAATTTTTTTTTTCAAGGTGTCTGTTTGTGAGCTATGGTACGTTACCATGAGTTATTGTATCAGATTAAATTACTGAAAATGGCACTGCCTCTAGATACAGAGGAACACCGGTTATTATGCATATCCGGATATAACGTGGTCGTCGCACGGCTCCTAAAATTTCCATTCAGATATTCATTCAAACATAAAACAGTGAGTGGGAGGAAAAAAATAACACTAAATAACTAAACATCTAGATGAAGAGTCGATTTTCAAAACGGGGTATCCGCCATTTTGAAAAAAAAAAAGATATATAACTGTACACTCTTGTAGAGCAAACCAGGTTCCTTTAGGACATGTTAAAGTTAAAGTTTATCTACAAAACACATTTTAATACTTTATTATTCTATGTCTAAAAATGATTTTATTTTCAAAACGCGGTGTGTATTTATTTTTATTATCAAAATGCTGTACATATTTTCGGACCAATCCGTGTGATTGGCAAGCTATTCTGCGGCATTCTGCGCATGCGCACTAAACATCACGATGCGAAACAACAACAAACATGGTTGCATAACGACGGCCTGCATGAACGAGTTGTTTGCAGAATAAAATCTCAAAAAAAAGAAAGAAAAAAAGCTCAACACGAGAAAAAGACAAATCATTTCGTCATTCCAGCGGACCAAAGATTCCCTCGGTGACGTGTAATCACGATAAATGGTTCTGCAAGGTGAGTTACCGGTAAATTGATTAAAAAACCACTAAATTTCATTGTACATGATTATTATTATTGTTATGGTTACTACACATCAGAAGTGTTAAGGAAATGAAAATAAAAAGTTGCTTTACAGACTTAGCTGTGTTATTTACTACACATTCAATCTTTTACATGCAGATCCAGCCATGACAGAAGAAAGGGTAGCTCAAGGACAGAAATATTTGCCCTCTGATTTGAATGTAAATAATAAGCATCAACTTGTCCTGGAACAAAACCAAACTGCTATTGAAGATGATGCACACTCTGAATCAACCAAACTGCTATTGAAGATGATGCACACTCTGAATCAACCAAACTGCTATTGAAGATAATGCACACTCTGAATCAACCAAACTGCTGTTGAAGATGATGCACACTCTGAATCAACCAAACTGCTATTGAAGATGATGCACACTCTGAATCAGACACCTCATTATGTTCTATTTTGTCGTTGTTCTAAATTCAAATAAAATGATTTTTGAATTGAACATTATCTTGTTTAATTTTGTTTAGAATTCAGATTTATAAAAACAAATCATGCAAACTTATAGCACTCTAAACATTACACTATTACAAGTGACTTTCCAGCATTTATAATACTGTTCTGTTAAAATATATAAATGAAAACATTAATCATACACAATTAAATCATGTATATGACACAATTTAATTTTATTTTGTCATGTAAGTGGTTTGTAATCTATAAACAACTTGAATTATTTGCTACTGGGAATAATGTTCAAAATGGATATACAGCATTTTGTCGCTAAGTTACAGCTGGATACACAGCATTTTGAAACAAAATAAGAAATTCAAACAAGTAAATAAATACATTTAAATTAACATACATTTCAATTTTCATCATAATCTATCTTTTATTTTGAATATATACCTAAATTAACATTTAATTTTCCGAAAATTTGAGCCATCATTGTGTAGCATAAAATGTCGATATCTCAAAACGCCAAAAATGAAGATATTGCATTTTGAAAATCGACTTTTCATATATTCATATTCTTGGACAATATGATCACATATCCATTAAAACTAGTCCCAATTCAACACCTCATGGATCACCACCCGAACGTAATATAAACACCCTTTGGTTTCATGGATAAAACGTATCTTCTTAATTTAAAAAATCCACAATGCTGTTATCTCGATCAGATTTGAGCGCCCCATTATTCTCATTATAGTGGAGTTCCACTGTCCCCATTTCGACATTAAAAAGATAAAAAATAAAAAAATAATTGAACCCATGACATGATCTTTACCTTTTCAAAATCTAAACTAATCCTTTCATTCTAAAATTGATGGTTCATTCATCGAGACCATTCAAGATTGTCACCCATTTGTTTGCGTACAGTAAACTGGGATATTCCGAGCACCACTGTTCTTGAGTCGGGCACAGTATTCCCTGGAAAGGTCAATGATGATGCGGGCCGTGGCGTCTCCGGATGGGGTGGTCGTCCTCCTCCCTTCGTTTTCTTCGTGGGAATGCGTGCACACAGGGCTGTCTTTCACAAAGTTTAAGAATCGTCGGCGCTCTTCCCCGTCTTGTAGAGAATGAAACACTGAAGCCTCTTCAGGGTCAATGCTCTGATGACGTCGTCTCTCAGTGTTGTCGGGAGATTCTAAATATCTGGTGATGTGTTGGCATTTCCCGCCACGTCTGGAATCACCTGGTCGACCGTGGTGAAATAAAAAAATGGCAACATGAAAATTAATAACAATATGTTAGAAAACGTGTTAGATTGAGGAATGTGTAAAAAAAATTATATGAAAAGAAACCCCAAAACACGTGCGTGGTCTATCTGACAGGTTTTCTGAGTACAATCGATACTATGTATTCGGCAACAACGAGCACCAGCGGTGGTTCTCAACACGTGGGTCGCGACCCCCTAGGTCAGGGCTCGGCACATTTTTTGTTGGACAAGTGCCGTTTAGAAGTTTTGGTTGGGGTCTGGGGGCCAGATGGATTGTGGCAAATTCAAGGTGGCCTACATGTGTGATCCAATTATTGTTCGAATGTTTATTTCATTAAAATGCATTTTCAAAACATTTAAGACGCACATTTTTCCCATATCGAAATTCAACATGAAGCAAGACGTTTTTATGACATAGCCGGATTACATTACTTTAAATAAGACTCCAAATAAAATATTAGTGAATGAAAAAAAAAACAAAAACAATTTGAATTGCCAATCTACTTTTCACATCTGCAAGGCGCACGTAACTGGTGCTTTAAAATATATATTTTTTTTAAAAATATAAAACAAACTGAGACTAACATTAATTAATGCTCACAATCTTAAAAAAATATTGGCAAACGTTTAACGCACAAGTCTGCTCTGTAACTACCTTTCACATTTTGTAAACATTTTTTATCAGACAAGTACGGAGTGCCGTGGCTGAATTGAATTCACCAGCACATGCTTTGAAAGGACTAAATTAACCCCTCGCCCCCCCCCACACTTTTTCCCTAATATAAGTCTATAAGCTTTCATTCTGCGTATCAGTCTGACAAGAATTTTGGATTGCATGTCTACAACTTCATTTGGAAGTTCCTCTGGTATCGCATTAACGACCCAAATCAAGCTGGTTTTGGAAGAGAGATTATTTTCTTACTGTTTCTCCCATTGACATCGGATGAAAACGGTCTTGACACTACTGCCTCAGATCAAAATGCTCGCTATTCACGCACTCCTGTGAAAATGGACCTGTCCTTTCTTGAGCGAAATTTGTCAGCGTCAAAATTACGTGAAACAGTGCTTTAACAACACTTAGTGTTTAAATTCAAATTCCATAGTTTTCAAATTTTGGTTGGGGATAAGATTACTATATTACAAATGCTGATTTATGATAATGTTTCATTTAAGAATATTCCACAGTTGCCTGTGAACTACAGAAATATGGTGGGGTCATTCGCATATTACGTCACGCTCAAGGGGGGGGGGATGAAGGTCAAGAATTTCTGACATCAGCACTGTGACTATAGATTACATGAGCATTGTGACTAAAAGATTACAACCGCTCTCTGACTATAGTTTTCAGCAGAACCGTGACTAGATTACATCAGCACTGTGACAATAGATTTAATCAGCACCTGGACTATAGTTTACAGCAGCACTGTTAATAGATAACATCAGCATTGTGACTAGATCAAATCAGCACTATGATAAGATTACATAAGCACTGTGATTAGATTACATCAGCACTGTGATTAGATTACATCAGCACTGTGACTAGATCACAACAGCACTGTGACTAAATCACATCTGCACTGTGACTACATCACATCGGCACTGTGACTACATCACATCTGCACTGTGACTATATCACATTATCACTGTGACTACATCACATCGGCACTGTGACTACATCATATCAGCACTGTGACTATATCACATTATCACTGTGACTACATCACATCAGCACTGTGACTACAACACATCAGCGCTGTGACTACATCACATCAGAACTGTGCCTACATCACATCACCATTGTGACTACATAACATCATCGCTGTGACTACATCACATCATCGCTATGACTAGATCACATCAACACTTTTACTACATCACATCATCGCTGTGACTACATTACATTATCACTGTGACAACATCACATCAGCACTGTGACTACATCACATCAGCAATGTGACTACATCACATCAGCACTGTTACTACATCACATCAGCATTGTGACTAAATCACATCATCACTGTGACAACATCACATCAGCATTGTGACTACATCACATCAGCATTGTGACAGCATCACATCAGCATTGTGCCTACATCACATCAGCATTGTGACTACATCACATCAGCATTGTGACTTCATCACATCAGCATTGTGACTACATCACATCAGCATTGTGACTACATCACATCAGCATTGTGACTACATCACATATTTCTGTGACTACATCACATCATCGCTGTGACTAAATCACATCATCACTGTGACAACATCACATCAGCATTGTGACTACATCACATCAGCATTGTGACAGCATCACATCAGCATTGTGCCTACATCACATCAGCATTGTGACTACATCACATCAGCATTGCGACTTCATCACATCAGCATTGTGACTACATCACATCAGCATTGTGACTACATCACATCAGCATTGTGACTACATCACATATTCTGTGACTACATCACATCATCGCTGTGACTACATCACATCAGAATTGTGACTACATCACATCAGCATTGTCACCACATCACATCAGCATTGTGACTACATCACATCAGCATTGTGACTACATCACATCAGCATTGTGCCTACATCACATCAGCATTGTGATTACATCACATCAGCATTGTGACTACATCACATCAGCATTGTGACTACATCACATCAGCATTGTGACTACATCACATCATCGCTGTCACTACATCACATCAGCATTGTGACTACATCACATCAGCATTGTGACTACATCACATCAGCATTGTGACTACATCACATCAGCATTGTGACTACATCACATCAGCTTTGTGAATACATCACATCAGCATTGTGACTACATCACATCAACATTGAGACTACATCACATCATCATTGTGACTACATCACAACATCACTGTGACTACATCACATCAACATTGTGACTAAATCACATCGGCATTGTGACTACATAACATCAGCACTGTGACTACATCAAATCAGCACTGTGACTACATCAAATCAGCACTGTGACTACATCACATATCGCTGTGACTACATCACATCATCGCTGTGACTACATCACATCATCGCTGTGACTACATCACATCATTGCTGTTACTACATCACATTATCACTGTGACTACATCATATCAGCAATTTGACCACATTCCATCAATAATGTTACCACATCACATCAGTTATGTGATTAGATAACATCCGTACTGTGATTAGATTACAGAAGCACTGTTACTACATCACATCAGCATTGTGACTAGATCACGTCAGCGCTGTGATTGGATGACAGAGGCACTGTGACTAGATTACAGCGACACTGTGACTAGATTACATCTGCACGTTGACTAGATTACATCAGCATTATGACTAGATTACATCAGCACTGTGACTAGATTACATCAGCAATGTGACTAGATCACATCAGCACTGTGACTAGATTGCAGCAATTACTTTTAATACCCCTCTTCTACATTTGCTTTTCAAAATCGAATTCTCAAATAAAGGAATTATCCTAGTTGTGGGTAGCCACAACTTGGTAAAAATTATCAAGGACTTGCAGCACTGAAAAGTCTGAGATCACTTGACTTAATTCAAGTTTGATGTGTTCTGTACTCAAGTTTAAACTCTTTACAAAAATAATTTTTTTTTAATGAATTTTTTGGAATTCAACGAGTTCAAAATATAGTTGTTTTTGTTTTGTTTACCGTTCATATTACCTCAACTTTGGCAGCAAGCACGACTGATAAATAAACGGGGCATCCAAACAAAAGACTGGACCATGTAATTATGAAGTAACAGGATATTTAGAACTAAGTTAGAACCTACCTGGCAGCGAAGACACATTTGGTAATGAGATGAGAATGCCCAGGACAATCCCAAGTATTGCAAGCACGGGCGCTTCCATAGCTGACTCCGATCTATGAGAAAGAAAGTGTCATGTAAGGCATTGATTGGTGTTTAAGTCGTGTCACTTTCAGCCTGTCGCTTTCACAATTATTGATTTACGATCGCGTGTGTCAATATCATCGAAAAAAAGGCGGGAAAACGTTATTTAGCTACTTTATCATGCAGATTTTGTACTTACAGATGAAGCCATTGGCATGTTTTAGACTTATTTTTTTTTTTTAAATTTTAATCCGCCATCTTTGTTAGGTCTACTGGTTTTGTAACATTTGTTGTTCGGTTGAAAAGAGAACCAATGTCTCTGGTTTTTGCAACATTGGTTGTTCGGTTGAAAAGAGAACCAATGGCTCTGGTTTTTGTAACATTGGTTGTTCGGTTGAAAAGAGAACAAATGGCTCTGGTTTTTGTAACATTGGTTGTTCGGTTGAAAAGAGAACCAATGGCTCTGGGTTTTGTAACATTGGTTGTTCGGTTAAACAAGGAAGTAATGTAGCGTGCTGCGGTACTCTGGGGATTGTCTAGGTGTGCCGCGATATTATGGGAATGATTTTAGTGTGCCGTGGTTGGAAAAAGCTTGTGGAGCACTGTCTTAAAGAGTTAGAAGGTTATCGATGGCAAGTAACAATTAAAAGAATAATCAGCCTAAGTTACTAAGGTAAAACCTAAGCACCAAAATCAACTACGGAAATGCTATATCAAAAAAACGAAAGAAATTTTCTCAAAAAAGAGACAAGAAAAATCGTTGGAAAATTCGATAAATTGCTTATTTACCTTAAAAACAGATGAAACAGACTGGTTTAAACATCTGCTTAAAATCAACATCTGTTATAAACACAGGTAGCACAGGTAGCACAGGCAGCTAAAGTTATATAATGACTTGGGCAATGAATCAAGACAAACTAACCGTCTACCACTTCCTTGATATTTGTTTAAAGACGAAGTCGGCATCGAATATAGCTACGTTTGTTGCAGTTTCAGTATCGTAATAATTACTTAAAAATGCACAAAGGATAACATAAGCAGGACCGTGTGAAAAGGGGTGGGGAAAAAGTGGTCACCGCCCCCGGGCGCCTACACCAGGGCTGGAGCAATTGTCTCTAATACAGAGTGGGTGAAAAATAAGTGAAACGGTTGCATATTTCTTTTTTTCTGGCATCCGTCCGTCCCAAAGTTACCATGGTGTAGACTTAGCAGGATGAAATGACAAGATCTGGGACTTTTTACTTTTGGACGATGAGCTTGTTTCCTCATACAGAAAATTGCCCCTCCATCCACACATCTGGATAACCCAAAAGGAAAATCGGGTGTGGATGATACAGCTTGGCATCAGTAGCGTCGCATGAGTTGCCAGAATTTTAATTGTAGCAATGTCTTACCGCCTATGGGACTCCATCTCCGGGTTTGAATTCTGAGTTTTCCTAATCATAGATGAGTTGCCATCCAAGGTTAACGGGCCCCATCCACACAGGGAGCTGGTGGTGTTTTTGCGTGTCTAGGCATGGGGATTGAACTCAGGCCTACTAGCTTGGGTGTTAGGAGCCTGGTATTACCAAGTTCAATAGCTTCGTTTTCTGAGTGTTACAATTAAGCAACAAATCATTGATTCATTGACAAAACTTCCTTTCATTATATATTTTAGAACTCATAAAAATCAAACTCTTCATCATTTATCACGCTAGCCCATAACAACCCCATTGAACAACGTCATTTCCTCTTACCCAAAAACGTCACCAAATAAAAAGCATATAGCAAAAGCGACCCAAAGAGTCTCCGAACCAAACACGCAATCAAAAGACACAAACAAGTCCTAACGAGAATGATTCAGTTTATACGTTTGCATATAATAATAAGGTTAACTCATTGCGGTAAATGTTTTTTTTTTAACTTTCGTAACTATGCTCTAAACTATGACAATAATCAGTTATTTCGTTCAATGTAATAAAACTTTCCCCACAAGCGGGAAAGTTTTCCGGGGTCTAGATATGCCTGGGAGGCCACCTGCCAACTCATCGTGTAATATAGCCTGGGTCATCTCTGAATGCGAAGGACGAACAACAGACGAGATTGTCAATGTGTCCTCGCCTGATTTCAACAACTTTTCCCAAACTTTAGCGTCACTCGTTAATGTTTCTGCCATTAAAGTTAAGGCGTTGCGAGCTTTCTCCACCGACCGTGCCAACTGCAGATGATGATAGCTTCGCCCAAAAGCCTTCACCGCCCTCGTTCTCTGCTTCTCTCAATCAAATGGACAATCCAGACACCCTTTCAATAAATGAAAGCACTGTTACATGTTTGTTTATATACATACATTATATTTATATATCTATCTATCTATCTATATATATATATATATATAT